GCCCGGTTGTCTACAACGCGGATGTTGTAGTTAGTTGGGAAGGTCGAGACCATTTCCTCGAGCTTGCTGGCACTACGGCCCACCACGTAGATTGGGGAGAAGCCCATGTTGTGGAGAGCAAAAATAGCAGCACGGGCAGTACCGCCGCCGCCGATGACCACGGCACTTTCGTTACCGGTGGAACCGTAAACGCCTGCGTTGCGCATGCATCGGACCATGCCTTGCCAGTCGGTGTTGTAGCCAACCAGACGAGGGGACTTGTCGCCGTTGGGGACGGGAACGACGGTGTTGACAGCGCCGATGATTTCAGCCTCCTGGGCGACTTCGTCGAGGAGGGGCATGATGTCCAGCTTGAGGGGGATTGTCACCGAGGCACCACCGAAGTCGGGGGCGCGGATGAAGTCCTTGACTTCTTCGATGTTGGTAGTCTCCAAGCGAGAGTATTCGTGGGGTAGACCCATTTTCCCGAAGAGGGCGTTGTGAAGAGCGGGAGACCGCGAGCCGGAGACAGGGGAACCGAAGATAGCAAACTTCTTGGCCTTGATCTCACCCATCAGGGATAGACCGCGGCGAATCTCTGCAGCGGATAGTTGACCAGGCGCAGCCTTGAAAGGAAGGCTGGGGTGAGACACCGGGGTCATGAAGCCGTTCAATATGCGGCTGAGCTGACCACTATCGCCCATGTTGATCGCAATCAGCGGCACATCGTGAGCTTCTTCAGCCCATGTCTTGAACTTCCGAAGGGCATTGTTATCATCAAGGGTATTGGCAACACCGACGAGCTTGATCACATCGCCGTACTCCAGAGCACGGTTGTAGGATTGCATCCATGACATGTTGGCCCACGACAGAGTGCCCTTAGGATCATGGTGCGAGGCGATGATCTTAGAGTGACCCTTCATCTCAGTAACAGCACGGAGCATTGCATCGGGGAACGCGATCTCAAGATCTACGAATTCGCATCCAGAACGGAACGCCAGTCGGTACAGCTGCATTGCAGCATCATGAGCATCATCGGGGAAGCGGCCACCTTGGCTCTTGGTACGGATGGTGAAGATGAGCGGCAGGGTGGTACTACGGCGAAGGATAGACATTTGTTCGTTGACGTAGTCAACCGAGGGAATATCGCCGTCAACTGTAGGGTCCTTCAGCAGGTCAACCCGCAGTTCGACAGCATCAGACCCGACACAAGCCCCAGTGATAATATCGCCCGACGTTCGAAGATCAGGCAGAGTCAATGAGACGAAAAAGCTGTGCTTCTTCTTCTTGATGAGACTAAGGCTGTCTGCTTGGCCAGTGACTACCCGCATGAAGCGGGTAAAGTCCTCTGAGGCAAGGGCCAGCTCCGTTGAGGTTGAGTGTTGGCTATAGTACTGAATATTACTGCACTCTTGGAACCAAGGCTTACGTCGTAGCCACACGCCCATCATGTCCTCCACGTACGCAGGGCGGGTCTTATCAATCTGGAGGAAGTCCATCACCAGCTTGATATCGCGCATGATGAGGAGCACGTTGCCCTTGCTCTTGTGGTAATCGGTAAGCAGCTTTCGCGCCTCTGGCATTTCGACAACACCTCCGCCGCAGGCGAAGACATATCCAGTAGGATGATCTTTAAGAACGCGCCGAAGGACATCAAGTTCTGCGTCTCTGAATGCCTCCCAGCCGCGTGTCTTGATTATGTCGGGGATAGTAATACCCTCGGAGGTCTCAAGCTCTCTGTCAAGATCGACGAAGCGACGACCAAGGGCCTTAGCAACCCAGTTCCCAGTGGTGGTCTTTCCAGCGCCACGCATACCGATTATGAAGATAGATGCACTGCTCCGCTCCACATCGCCCGAGACAGCATGCTCATCTTCCTTCAGTTCTTTGCCATTAAGATTCACGCTGAACATTTGCTTCAAGGCGTCCCACCAGCCAGGCCAGGTCTTGCCAACACATTCTTTCTCCAGAATAAGGGTAGACTGGGGAGCGATAAGAGACAGCACACTGAAACTGAACGCGACCCGGTGGTCATCGTAACAGTAAACACCACCAGAGGGCTGGCGAAGGGTAGAACGTTCAATGCCGTCGATTTCAAGCCCGTCGTCATGCTCACGGCATACCACCCCGAATTTAGCCAATTCGTCTTTCATAGCCTTGATACGGTTGCATTCTTTGACACGCTGGTTTGCAATACCGTAGATACGAGTTGTGTGGTTTGAGCCCTTGCCCCGGGCAACGGCCGCGAGAACAGAGGCAGTAAGGAATGCATCTGTCATGGGCTCCATATCGACATTAGGCAGCGGTTGCAAAACGCCATCGGCAGGTCCGGTAACAGTGGTTGAAGTATCAGTCTGTACAACAGAGCAGCCCATAGGCCGTAGAACGTCCACGGCGAAACGAGCATCGCCCTGAAGGGACTTGGAACCAATGTTAGGGACGGTGCAGGTTGTGCCAGTGACGGCAGCAATCGCCAAAGGATAGGTTGCAGAGCTTGCGTCGCTCTCCACAACATATTCGGCGGGATTCACGTAGTGAGCCTGAGGAATGTGGTAGGTGTGCTCCTCAGTGGTAGACTTCTTCACGTCGATGCCGAAAGATCTCATCATCGCAGTGGTCATGTCGATGTAAGGCTGTGAAATGGGCTTGCCGCCGACCAGCTTCAATGTGACTGGCTCCTTGGCGTACGGAGCGCACATGAGCAGCGAGGAGACGTACTGGGAGGAAACTTTGGCGGCCAGGTTGATCTTTCCTCCTGCGAAGCCTCCAGAAGCGGCGATCTTGAGAGGAAGACATCCCTTGCTTTCCATATACTCGACACCGGCACCGTTGACAGTAAGAGCGTCAACAAGATCACCAATGGGCCTTTGCTTCATGCGGTTGTTGCCGGTCAAGACACTCGAGTCGACACTGCTGGGAGTAGCGAGTGTAGCCACGGTGGTGAGGAATCGCGAGGCAGTACCGGCGTTACCCAAGTACAACGGTGAAGGGCTTGCGATAATCTTTCCGCCTTTGCCGTTCACAACAAGAACTTCACCTTCCTCCTCCCAAGAGAAAGTTGCCGCACCGAGTCGCTCTAGGGCATTCAACATGACCTCAGTGTCGTCGGAGTGCAAGAGATTCTTGATGCGGCAGGTACCAGAACCAAGCGCAGCAAGCACAAGGGCACGGTTGGAAATACTCTTAGATCCAGGGGGTGCGCAAATGACATTGAGCGACTTGGGTACTCCGGGGTAAACCTCAACGCTGGGAGCGAGGACGACCCCAATATCTTCATTAGAGACAACACTGGCCTTTGGCTCGTGAGTACGGCCAATTGCTGAGAGGAGTACAACCTTCTTTTTCGGGCCATCATTTTTCTTGTCCAAAGCCATGTTGAACAGCAATTGGTCTACAGAGCAGTGCTTACCAGCAGTCAACTTACGAACACGTGGATCTTTCACGGAAGTGGGCAAGCCGTAGGCCGAGAGGCACTTTACCACACGAGCGACGGCGACACCCTTCAGGGTACCCAGATGTCTCGCAAGCTCTGCCTCCTTCACCATGCCGATTGCGACACATTCGCCGTGAAGGATCTGAGGGGTAAGGATCGCCTCAATTGCATGTCCAATAGAATGACCCCAGTTGAGCAGGTTGCGAAGGCCGCCCTCACGCTCATCTGCGGAGACAACAAAGGCCTTGTGACGTGCCGATGCCAAGATTCTGGCCTTCAGGATATCCCGGATGCCGTCGAAGCGACCTTGGCCAGCCTTCGGCTCGCTGCGCACAGCAGCCAAAATTGATTCTGCGTTATCTTCCAAGGCTGTGAACTCCTCTTCACTTGAGATGGCAGCAGTCTTAATGACCTCGGCCATGCCATTGATGAACTCTCGGACGGGGAGAGTCTCGAGGAACTCAAGATCAATATAGATTCTCGATGGCTGCCAGATAGAACCAATGAGGTTCTTACCAAGCGGGGTGTCAATAGCTGTTTTCCCTCCAATTGAGGAGTCCACCATTGCAAGAAGCGTGGTCGGGACCTGCACGAAGCGGACACCTCGCATGTAGGTTGCTGCAACAAATCCAGTCAAATCCCCAATCACACCACCGCCCAACGCAATGATCACTGTGTCTCTACCACATGGTGGGTTCTGGCTCAGCATCCAATCTTCGATATCGGCTTTTGTCTGCCGTGACTTGGAGCTTTCTCCGGGGGCCGCATGGTGGATGAGTAGCCGCGGGGCTGGGGTGATGGAAGCGGCGGCAGCCTCAAAGGTCTTTTGGAAAGTGGGGGTATAAAGAGATCCGAGGTTGGTGTCGGTGATGAGAACGTAGGTCGTCGAGGACAAGCCACTGATCAGGTCCTTTGCGACAAAATTGCGCCAAAGACCAAAATCAGCGACAATGCTCTCCCGGCCCAAGATGCTGATCTTGGTGGGTTCGGACATGGCGGAGGATATAGATGAGGATTTGGTAATGGCAAAGTTCAATGACTGCTCATTTCATTCTGTGATTTGTTAGTACACTGACTCACGGTACTTTATCTGTTTCCCCCACAATGAATCTAGGGATACAACCTTGGAAGGTGCACACTGATCATTTAGAGGGAATTGGATGGTTAGAGGAGTTTGACCAACCTGGACAGAGCTGAGCCAAGAGCCAATAGTGTATCAAGAGGATATAACCTTCAAGTCAAGAGCCAACAAGACAAAAAAGGAAAAAGAGTATTGTTTCCCCTCCGGTGTCGCGGGCAGTTTCTTGACCGCCCGGTGACTCAATCTGTCGATCTATACTTGGACGTGTGCACTAGGTCTAACACTCAGATCATCTACAACATACGATTTATATCATACAGACATGACTCATCTTACCAAATTTGTTGCTAGCTTAAATGGGGTTTAATTCAGACTAGGAAAACAACATGATACCCCAAAATTTGCCAAATTCTACACCTTAACCCCACCTTTCAACTTAGCCGACATCGCCTGTACTGAACGCGAACCCTACAAATAGCAGAAACTGGCTTGGGGTTCAGTCTTCTGTCAAATCAACTCAATTGCTGTCTTGGAGTCGACTGAATCCAACTGATCTGGTGATTTCAATGTATCTGCCAATTCCGAATTGAGTGCCGCCTGGATACGTTCATCCGATCCTGTCTTGTAAACTTTCGATGGCCGAGTCCTGCTTTTGGAAACACCATTATTTCGCACGCTGATCTGTATCTTTGGAGCGGCCTGGAAAAGTTTGCCGGGATGGTCTACTCCACGGCCCGTCTCTTTGGCGCTCTGATTTCCCATTTGAGCACAGTGGCTGGCGAGCTGGACAAGAGCTCGATTATTGGTCGCGTTAGCCCCGATGCAACTCCGTTCAATTGTCTGGGCATATTTCTCGACCAGTTCATCGATACCAGAAAACTGCATGTTGCCATTCTCATCCTTTTCAGCTTCGTCAGACTCCACCGAGAGTCGAACCTGCTGAAGTTGCTCGCATAGCTTGCCAGCAAACCGATACAGTACTTCACGAGTGCCGGTAGAATCACTGAGGGCTCCTTGTTTAGGTATACTAATATTATCGTCCCCCGAGGCGGCTGGAAGCGCATGCCCGCGCTCAGGTGTGTTTGCAGTGTTTGAGGAGGCCAGTGATGTTGCTGGCTCTTCGATGGCAATGGGAGACACCGGGGATGAAATAATCAATCTGTCAGCATTAGGATCGCGGTGCCACTTGACCGGATTCGCGTCTTTTGTCATTCCCACCCTCGAAACCCTGTACCGAACGCGTCGCCCCCAACGAAGAATGCTGAGCGCATGAAGAAACTCGTATGCATCAAGCTCCCGGGGAATCGTGTTGATATTGGAGCGGGGGAATAACCTTGGCACAACATGCATGAGCTGGAATATACACCAGATCCCGAACACCAAGGTGGAGGTCTTGCGAGTTCTATTCTGTGTACTGATTTGTGGAGGTGTAAGAGCTGTCATGGCATCCTCATAATCACGTTGGTGGGCACATAGCCAGAGTTCTTTAAATCCCAACTTCTCTCGCTTGATCTGGGTTAATACCGACGACCAAATAGTAATAATTCTCCGGGTTTCCGTGTTCATATGCCACAATAAGTTAATATTCTGTGTTGTTGGAAAGTTCAAGGCACCAACAAGGTGTGTTGCCCTACACAGATTAATGGCCCATCGAGACTCGTACAAAATCTCAGGTTCATCAGAGAACGGGCGAGATGATATACTCATTTCAGACATGATGAGGTATGGGTGAAGTTCGATGGAAGAAGCTCGAGCTGTCTGCTTCGATGAGCTTGGGTAGAAGAGTGAATGAAGGAGAAGTCTAGGCCGACGTGAATGGGGGGCTTAAATAGGCACTATGGCTTGTTTGCTTTAGGAAAACGAGCCTAACGATCGGAAGCTCTTCTGGTCTTCCAAGGTTATGTGGTGCACGGAAACTTTCCAAGACATCTCCATGGGTGTTAGCAGCCGTTAAATTTAGAGATGTACATTATATCAGGCCCTTGATAGACCAGCCCACTGAGTACCTATGTATGTATGTATGTAGATAAATCATATATCTAATCTACCTGGGGATGCTGTGAGGTTGTACATACATCTAAATTTATACATAGAAAAGTCCATTTCACAAATTAAGCCTCTCTCCGCATTTTTCTACCGTTTATCTGTACAACTGAGATGAGCAGCAAAATATATACAAAACAAAGACAACCAAAAAGACAACCAAAAGGACAAACTAAAAAGATATCACAAGGCCGCAAACGCGGCCGACTATTCTTGTACATATATACATACATACAATACATATTCGTTCCACTATTAGGCTGTTGGAGAATTTGTAGGCAGCACAGTGTTAGGTAGCCTGCTAGTAGTACTATTCGTATGCAGCATAGACCTAGATCGTTATCCCTGGAAGGCTTTGTAAGTCAAGGTGTTCTATCCATATAATATGCACGAGTGAGGGACAGAAGGTCGGCCTTGAAACGACACACAGCAGCTACCTATTCAAGTTGTGGCATTTCATGGCATCACACCGTGAATCACTGGAGAATTGGAATATTTGTTTGCCGGGCTATTTACACAAGAGCACATGTCCATCACTCATCTTCCTCGTCCTCGTCCTCGTCATCGTCGTCGTCCTCAGCCTCCGAGACTTCCTCTCCGAGCTCCTTGAGCCGTTTCTAAGATAACCATTAGTCAAATCGCCAAGAGGCAAGAGCAGTTCGAGAATGTATCGAGCCATTAAACATACCTTGTCCTCCGTTCGCTTAGCCTCAAGGTCTCCAAAGACAATCAGCAGGTCTTCTAGTTCAGACTGAGCTGACTGGCGAGCCTCCTCCTTTTCTTTAACCTCAGTGTTAGCCTTGTCGAGCTGGGCCTGGATGCTTTTGAGGGTTTCAGCCGCACTACGAGCGTGGGACTCGGCCTCTAAGGCCTTGTTCTCAGCTTCTTTAGCTCGTGCTTCCAGAGCAGAGGTCTGAGATGCGGTGTCTTCTTGGGCGGTTTCGAAATCATTGCTAGACTTCTGAGCCTTCGTAAGGTCTGACTCTAGAACCGCGACAGATTGCTTTAGAGTTGCGATCTCGGCTTCATGTTCTTTTTTGGCTGCGGCGAGATTTGACTCGAGAGTTCCGACTGTATTATTGTGGCTAGTGGATTCAGCCTCATATTGCTGCTTGGTTGTAGAGAGAGTAGACTCCAAAGTTTCGACTTTGCTCTGGTAGTCACTGACTTCCGCTTCGTGATTTTGTTTGGCTGCGGCCAACGTAGATTCCAGGCCCTGCAACCTTTTGGTAAGATCGGCGACTTCTCTATCGTGGGTTCCATTGGTGCTTTCAAAGTCCTTGATTTTCTTGGTGAGGTCTGCCACCTGTCTATCATTGGCTTTCTTGGTGTTTTCTAGGTCTTGAATCTTGTTTTCAAGACCGGCGACCTGCCCACCGTGGGCCTCCGTGGACTGGCGGATTGTGCTTTGCAGCTCCTGGATCTTCTTGTTGAGGAGACCGACTTGATCATTGTGGGATTTTTTGCTGCTTTCCAGATCTTGAATATTCTTTTGAAGATCAGCGACCTGTACACCATGGGCCTCATTGGACTGGCTGATAATAGTTTCCAACTCCCGGAGTTTCTTATTGAGAGTGACAACTTCTCCTGTATGTTGTTCCTGGATGCGAGAAAGGTCCGACTCCAAGCCACGAATAGTTTGCTGCAAACCAGCAACCTCTCGCTCATGATGCTTTCTCAGTTCCTTCGCTTTGTTGCTCTTGCTTTCAGATTCCGCCGAAGTCTGCTTGAGCTGATGGTCGATGGCACGGAGCTGATCACTATGCTGCTTGAGTAACTCGTTCTTGTGATGCTTATGTTCGTTTTCAAGCTTCGACAGCTGTTGGGATAGCTCCTGCACATGGCGTTGTTGCAAAGATTGGTTGGATTGTTGAGCTTTTGATAACTCAATTGCGTTGGATTCCTTTGTCTTTCGGTGGTCCAATTGTTCTTGATCAAGCTTTCGTTGGATGCTAACGAGATCAGACTCCAATGTTTGAAGGGTATGGGTACGATCTTCGATTTCTGCACGCAATGAATCGACAAGGTCACGCGAAATTCCCTTTTCAACACCATTGGCAACAATGGAAATCTCAAACCCAGGCTCACGGTCAATGGCACGAAGCAATCGGCTGAAGTTATCTTTCAGGAACTCAATAAATGAGCGGTCAAAAAACACCTCTGGCAGTCCACCCTCGAGCTGGCCACCAGCGGTTTGGGGGAGGACCTCAAAGTCGCGAACCAATGGAAATTCTCGAAGTCTTGTGATCTTGTCAATATACTGTTCCCTGCCAAGCTGTTCAATGAGTAGCTTATGGAGGGTGATGCGAGGGATCGGGGAATCTTTTGTGGAGAATTCATAAATCACACCCAACAGCACGGTGCAGAGGCCGGGCACCAGTTTACTGGGGACGCGCTGGTGCTTGATTTCTTGCAACAAGGTTTGAATGCAGCTACCCTCTCCGAGGAGATCATTCACGACGTCTGGATCTTCAAAAAGCCACCCACAGAGCAGCATCAGATAGCCGACTGTGATTCTTTCGTCATCGCCGCGCTGCAGACCAGTAATCAGGTTTCCAACGACAGATTGGACACTGGTGACCACTTCTTCGCCGCTCTCAGCATCGCCCTCGGTAACGGCCATAGCTGTTGCCTTGGCCTCTGCATCATCAAAGAGCAAATGGAACATCAGAACGCAGGCCATCCACACTTGATACGGATCGGCATTCCCTCGCGCTTCTGGTGCCGTGAGTAGCACAGATAGAATATTGGGAATCCGATCCTGTCCGCTGGTATGCCCTTCAATCGCTCGCCTGAGCACATGCATGCGAATTCCAGGATGATGGGCGAAAAACGCTTTCATACATTCGCAGGCAGCAAGACGTGCGTCCAAAAGGTTATTGGGAGCGGGCTCAAGACTGAGCTTTAAGAATGCTTCAATGACATTGATGCGTAAAGGTTCATTCGCATCACCATTGACAGCCTTGTCACCGCGGGGGTACGAGCCCCACAGGACTTCGATATCGCCGAACCTTTCCTGCAATGGTGAATTGCCGCGAATCAGATCGGCACAAGTTGATAAGGCCTGGATTTGTTAGGAATAAGTACATACAAGGATGGGTAATAGCAACATCTCACCTTTGAGGTTACGCCGACACTAAACCTTTGACCGAATGCAATGCTGAGAACTTGTTCTGTCACACCATTCTGCCAGAATGCAGTCTGGTTAATGGGTGTGCTCATGCCACCACGAATCAAAAACAACTGAATGATGGCCAATAGGCCCCAGACATTCTTATCTCGGTGGACCAGAGTCCATTGTGGTGCCGGCTCGTTGTCTTCTGGCTCCTGTTGACATTCATGAAGCAGCTGTGTTACTCTTTTCACACAACCGGTCTCGCGGAAAAACGATTGGTTGGAAACATTGAACCTCAGTAATTGAGCCAACAAGGAGAGGCAATCTTCCACTACCTCGGTCCCATGAGTCAATGCTCCCTCCGCTTCAATAAGAGAGAAAAGTATCTCAAACGCATTCTCGAATGCCACAAGCTTCTGCAGCTCTTCCGAAGCGGGGGTCAGGGCAATCAACAAAACGAGAGCCTCTAGCAGAAAACAGTTTGTAAGCTCCAACCTTTCATGTCCCACGTGGACGCAAATATTTAGCAAGACATACCGTTCCGTACTGGTTCCCTCGCATCTGTCAGCACGCTGACTAGCTTGGAAATACCCAGCGGCGCTGTAAAAATGCATTCTTGTGTTCGTTCGGGTCGTGCGCTGCAAATGTGGGAAATCAATTGGAGCGAATAGAGACGGGAGTAGAACTCGCGGGCTTCTAAAAGGTTGAGTAGGGTTGTTATATTATCTTGTCGCTTTAAAAATGTTAGTTCATCATCTCGGGGCTAAGGTCACAATACATACCTGAGTGAATTCATCTGCCAGCCACAGAGCTATTTCATCCGACGCTTCAGGCTAAATAAATATATGAGCAACTCGAGTGAAACTCTTCAAAGTACAAGATACCCACACTGGATTCATCAGGCGTAAAAAGCATCAAAAGAGTCTCGAGGACGACTTTAATGGTGTCCACATCCTCACTGTCATTGCGTAGACTGCTGATCAATGACCGCAGGCCACCGGAAGCGACCGATGCAGGGTAGAGTTTTGCAAAGCTTCTTAATCCTTGGATCGCTGCGCGACGATCTTCCAACAATGTAGCACTTTGCAATCTATTGCTCAATACGTCGATTGTGTCCGTAGCCGTTTGTTTGGCCGGAGCTTGCGACTCGAGGATTCGGAACATGGTGATTGATTCGCAATATCATGGTCACTGCCGGCCAAGGGCGTGGGAATTGGTAGTCATCTATGAGGGAGCAAAAAGTAAAAAAGTGAAGAGGTGGTTAGGTCGCTGATTGCAATAGAAAGCTGTCCTATTGTACTGCCCAAGGGGGGCTAAACGCCGATCTTGGCTTAACCCGCAGAATCGCCGACCGCCCGGAATTTATCTTTTCGTCAACGGCAAGCTCATTTTGGCTACTCTCAACCTGCACCGCGATCATATCTGCGGTTGCATCTCTTTTTATCTCTATTGAATGCTTCAGGGGAGTCTGTACATTATCTGGACTGCCTCAAATTGCTTCCCATTCACGAACAGAGAGATCGCGCCTGCGCCTGCACGAACGCCATCAGCTGATTGC